GGAAACCATATATCAATAGTAATAGACACTGCTCTAAAGAGTTTGCATCTCTTGTGCCATCTACTAAAATTTATTCTTGTGTTACTCATCATTCAATTAAGTCTCATCCTTTTTCTGTGACTGTTTCTAAGTGCTCCATAAACTCTTATTTGTCTAGTTTTTTTCCTTGAACATCAGTTCTTTGGAACTCGCTTCCTTCATCTTACTTTCCTGATTCATATAATTTGCAATTCTTAAAGTCGTTTATCAATCGTTATCTTGCTCTGCAATCTTCATCTTTTTTCTTCCAGTAACTTCCAACTCTAATTAGTAGTTGCTTGCAGCCTTGTTAGAAGCAAAGATATTTAAAAATATATATATATATATTTTTAAAGATCTTCGATTGACAAATTATGAACAGAGTGTAATCAGAATGGCATCAGCTTCTTTATCAGCAAAATCAGATGGATATTGGTATGTTTTAATAACTCTTCAAAACAAAATCTATAACAAAATCAAGTTGCATGTGCTAGATAACTTATACATAAATATTATTCTTGGCACTGATTTTTAAAGAGTTACATAATACTATTACCATTAAGTATGTTGGGAAAAGACCACCCATAACATTGGCAGCTTTAACAACAATGAAAACTGAACCTCCTGAATTGTTTGCTAATCTCGCAAAGATTGTCGCTAGATCTAGAAATTATTCTCAAAGTGATAGAGAATTTATTAAATCTGAAATCCAATGCCTGGTTCAAGCAGGAATAATAGAGCCTAGTAATTCACCTTGGTAGGTCTTAGTAGTAAATGAAAAGACTAAACGCCGCATGGTTGTTGATTATTCTGAAACTATTAATAAGTATACTTAATTAGATGCATTAATATAACTCAAGATAACCCAATTGGACGCATATCCTCTACCTAAGATTGAAACGATTGTAAGCATAATTTCTAAATACAAAATTTATAGTACTCTCGATCTTCGCTCAGCATACTACCAAATACCTTTATCAAAAAAAGATCAACCAAATATTGCTTTTGAAGCTGACAATAAGTATACTAGAATGCCTTTTAATTTTTATGGCTTATTAAAACCAGATCCTCAGAGACTTCCTAATTTAGTTAGCCCCACCTGATGATGCAAAGTCTTTCAGCGTATTATTGGAATGTTCTCGTACTACACAAAACAGATAAGAAAGTTTTCAGATAAAATTAGACCTTTAAACTCTGTAACTCAATTTCCACTCAATCAGCAGCAAATATCAGCATTTGAAACATTAAAAAATAAGCTCCTTAAATCTTCCACGCAAACCATTGATGAGAATATACCTTTTATTGTGGAGACTGATGCTTCTGATTTTGCCATATCCGCTACACTTAATCAGGATGGAAGACCTGTTGCCTTCCATTAAAAACCCTTTAAGGTAGTGAACAATAATATTCATCAGTGGAAAAAAAAGCTCAACTGATAGTCGAAGCCATAAATCATTGACGCCGTTTTCTTTTGGGTCAACATATCATTCTCATCATTGACCAACAATCTGTGGCATTTATGTATGATTATAAACCAAGCAGTAAAATAAAGAATGATAAAATAATGCATTGGAGAATTGCTTTGTCTCCATATTCTTATGATATCCATTATCGCCCTGGCCAATATAATAGTGGTCCAAATACATTTACTCAAGTTAGATGTGCAGCAATAATTTTAGAATCTTTATATGATTTGCATGCTGCACTTTGCCATCCTGGTGTTACTCGCTTCCATCATTTTGTTCAATCAAGAAACTTCCCTTATTCAGTAGAAGATGTAAAACAAATATGTAGTGATTCTAGAATATGTAAAGAAATAAAACCCAAGTACTACCGCCCAAATGATGTGCACCTAATTAAAGCAACTCAGCCATTCATATGTATATTGACTTCAAAGGTCCATTAGCTTCTTCAACCCCTGAACAATATATGCTAGCAATTGTAGGCAAATACTCACGCTTTCCATTTGCTTATCCTGTAAAAGATATAACAACTCAGACAATAATAAACTGTTTAGCTGATCTTTTTTCCATGTTTGGTATGCCTAGCTATGTTCATTTTGGATCGTTCATTAATGTCTTCTGAATTAAAGCACTGGTTCTTATCAAAAGGGATAGCAACTAGCAGAACAACCCCTTACAAACCGACTGGAAATGGGCAAGTTGAAAGATACAATGGAATTATTTGGAAGTCGATATTACTCACTCTAAAATTAATCATTTTGTGTTATACTATATATACTTTATGTACTTTATTATTTTGTTATAGACTAGTATAACTATAGCTCTTTTGAGCCAACATAATTAATTTGGTTATTCTTTACATTCATATTTCATTTATATTCCCTTAGTTACGAGAATCCCTTAGTTACGAGAACTCTGAGCATTTGAAAATTGAAATTCGAAAAAAAAATGTATAATTATATATAAGTAATTTCAGTGAAACCATGCTTGATATTTCAATTGTATCTGTGTTGTCAAAACACCAAATGGGTACATGTTATTTTAGTATTTTTTTGATGTATTTAAAGATAACACTTTATAAAATTGAACACTGTATTTCGAAGACATGACGTCACACTTTTTTCAAAAGTGAGGTTATATGAAAAAAAGTTCCTGTTCTGATTTTATATTTTAACTTGGTTGTTATGAAAAATAATTTTGCATAGCAACAACCAATTTTTACATTAACATTAATTTGACAATTTTTTATTTGCGCTATAAACACTATATTGGGCGTGTATTAAAATAAGATTCACACTTCTTATGACAACAATATTTCTATTTAGTTGCTATGGATACATTACTTTGCTTAGCATAACAATAACATATTTTTGGCAGTTATTCTTGATATTTACTTAAGGAAGATCAGTACATCAAAAGTGAGATAGAAACCTTCTGTATGATTTTATTAAACATTTGCAGATCTCCAATGAACGTTAATGTTGTTCAGTGCATGGTGTCTCTCCAAAAAATATGAATATATACTTATAAAAATATATACTTGAAGAAGATCAGTAGATTAACAGTGGGATCAGTGGAGATCTGCAAACGTTTTCAGTGCATGGCGTCTCTCCAAAAAATATGAATAGTCCTAATATCCTTAATACAGATCCACAGAGAACTCAAATATGATTTTTCATTTAGTCTCCATGCATCCAGGGTTCAATTTTTTGAGATGATTTTGCATATTGCATATAAAAAAGAAATAAGAAAGTGGCAAGATCTAAAGAACACAAAGAACACAAAGAACTAAACAGAAGATTCAGACTAATTTTAAGAACAAAATAGGATTGTTGTTGATTTCCCCAAAAGTAGTGGTTCTGGAACAAGCAACTATAGCAATACTTCAAGACATGCTTTTGCAGCATATGAACAAACAGTTAAAAATCTGGTAAAATCTGAATATAAAGTATCAAAGGCTTCAGATTTTACATTATCTTGGTCACACTATCTTCAGGAAATGACTGAATTTTAAACAGTCTGCATAAAATTCAAGGATTTTTGTTTTGACTCTGTTAGACCATTATTATCTCTTTATCCATGTATTATTTGACTAATTTGTCCATCAAGTTTTGATACATGAACATGACAAAAATCAAAGATTTACATTACCCATAGGACTTTTTTCAGAAGAAGCTCAAGAGGCTAGAAATAAAAACTTTAAAACTTATTGCTAAAAATTCAATTTTTTTTCGCAATTTTTTGAAAAAATTCAAAAAATTGCGAAAAACATTCAAAAGAGAAATACTGATCTGAGCAACAGACTTCTTGTTTCTTAGTTATTTTACCACTTAGTTTCCAGTGACTTAGTTATTTTACCACTTAGTTTTCAGTGACTTAGTTATTTTACCACTTAGTAAACCAACATCCCATTAAACAAATCATAAAACATTTACTTTAGATGTTTCAAACAATATTATTGTTTTATTTATCATCAAAAAACTTCAACGTTTTGAAGAGGTGACCATGTCAAGAAAGTATATACCAACAAGAGTTATAAGTTTCTTATTAAAGTACATTTGAAATTTTCTTAAAAAATTTAAGAAAATTTCAATCTACATTATGATACCCTTACTAAATTTTTTCTTCGCTGTGTTTTTAAACTATACACATAGGTTAAATAAACGTAAAAGTGTGAATTACATTTCCTTAATATTTCAGGTTATCATTTCTTAAAAGAAGTATACTTGTTAAAAAACACCTTACTTTAATGTGATAAAGATAGGATAATAGCATTAAATTTAGATTTTTAATTCTAAATAGAAATGTCACTTATATTTACTTATTTTTCTAGACTACATAAAACAGGTTAACTCTAAAAAAGGCATCTCTTCCTATATTTTGTGTGTGTGTGTGTGTGTGTGTGTGTGTGTGTGTGTGTGTGTGTGTGTGTGTGCGTGTGTGTGTGTGTGATTATTGTTGTTTTGTGATCTTTTAGTCTGCCTTTTAAGTCTGTGCATATAAATTATTTAGATTTTAAGATGTTTTATTTTTATTAATATTAAACATTAAGAAAATTTTATTTTGGCTTTTTTTTAATTTTTTTTAAGAAATTTAAATTCTAAAAAATCTTGAATGTTGCAATAGATTCATGTTGAAATAGATGTTTATAGTATTGCAACACTTTTGAAAATAAAATAAGGGTTCTCGAAGGATATTTAAAAAATAATTCAAAGCTATAAAATTTTTAATGTAATATTATTGTTAGCATAGTTAGAAACTAATTTCATGCAATAAAGTTTAAACAATGGAAACAAACAACATACTGTTGCATGCAGTATTCTTTAATGAATGGAAATAAATTGTATTTATTTGAATGCAATAAACATTAATAAATGGAAACAACAACTTGCAAACAATAAATTTTTACACTTAAATATTAGTAATATAACAAAGAAGTTTTCTATGATAGAAAGACATGATTAAATGTTTTTAATTTTTGAACAAGAAAAATCTTGATATTTTGTTTAATAAACTTACCTCTTGAGTCATGGATGTTAACAACTCATTCTCAGAAGGCATATCAGTGCCTCGTTGGTCATTCTAAAATAAAATGCAAAATCTGTAAATACTATTTTATATATATATATATATATATATATATAAATATATATATATATATATATATATATATATATATATATATATATATATATATATATATATATATATACATAAGTATTATTGTTACAATGTGTTACTTATATAATTATAAACAGGTTTTTTGTTTGTTTGTTTTTTATAAAAATTATGACTAAATAATTTATGTGTCTATACTAAATTTTAATGTACAACAAAATCACAAGGGTTTGGGTTGGATATATAGATATAACGAACATTAACTAAAACAAATTTTTGTATGTTTCTACTTTTTCTGTAAAACCATTTAGATGCAGTTCAATACTTAGTGAGTAATAACAGGTGTTATTGAAATTTGAACAATGCTTTATTCGTTATATAACCTTTTTTTATTTATAAAAATTTATTTATACTTTTTACTAATAAAATGTTTGAATATATATATATATATATATTTTTAATTCTAGTTAGAAATTAAGCACAAAGATAAAAATGTAATGTAGAACATTTTTTAGAGAAGAAAATTACAAAATTAACTATATAAAGTATAATTTAAGGTGCAAATAAAAAATCTTAGCAGCCATGGATGCAGCAAAAAAGTTATTAAAATGCCTTAGAAAATTATTGACAACTTAAAATGTTTGATCAGCGTGATGAAGTAACCTTTCGTTTAACCTTTTGTTTTTTCCTTAAGCAGCTAGTATGTTCAGAATTTCAGCTTCATATGCTCATAAAATCATAAAAAGAAATTAAAATATTAAAAAATAAAAATAAAATGATTTCCAGATTGATAACCAAAAACTAACAGCAAAGACTAAATGTTGAAGACTTTATAGAAATTTTGGAAAACATGATTGGATTATCGATGAAGGATCTTACTGGACACTTTCTTGTATAACGATCAATGGAAACAATAATTTTATAGAAACAACATTAAAGAGTTAATTTAGTGCTAAAACTTTTACTCTGGGTATCTTTTTTTTGGTAAAAGATATATCAAAAATCTTAACTTAATGAAAAGCAATGAAAAAATTTACTTTAAGATTGTATTAAAAAAAGACTAATTATTTTATAAAAGAACATGTCACAATCTGTGTGCATTTTGGCCTGATTTTTTTTTTGTTATGCTAAATCTGTTCAAGATTACTTTTCAAAAGTTCCTGCTCCAGAGAAAAAACCTTTTTTAGTCAATCATTAAAGAACTAGTTTATAAAAATGGATGATAAGCAGAAAATCTTGTTAAAGAGAAGAGTTTTAAAAAAGTTGACTAAAAAGCTAAAGCTGTTTTTCATCACATGTCATAAACTGATTATTCTTAAATAAGAGCCAATCCTCACTCTGCACAATCAAAAGTCACTTCGAAACTAGAGACTTCTAATTCAGTTTTAGTTTTTAAAAGAAATAACTTGTGTCTATGGAAACAAAGCAGTTGTTACCAAAGTTGTATCTGTGTGCTTAGATTACTCAATCTTTGCTAGATAAGACCTAATTAGGTGAGATTTACTAATCAACTACAGGCAACTGACAATTTGACTATGATTCTCTTTTCACGATATTCCTGCAAGAACTGGAGAAATCTGATATTATTTCCTAGTGCAGATGAAGTTAATCATTTTAAGACCGTAACAGTGAAGACACACATTGCACAGAGCTGCTGCCATATTTTTTTACAATATTTCTAAATCTTTGAAGAGTAAATGATTTTAGTCATTCATCCTACTCCATGCATTGATCTGCAAGCCTGAAAATGAATTCCTCGTGAGAGAACCTCACTAAGAAAAATTACTGAAATCTCTAAATAAACCAAAAAACAAACTTTTTTTTTTGCTACTTTGCATGGCAATTTTGCAGAAGTAAGCAGTTGTTATAATGGGGAGACAAGCAACATAAATACTTTTGTCAGTTTATGTATCTGTTTGCTGTCTCAGTGATCAATCAATGAAACATCTGTTTTGAACTTAAATTTTATTTGTAATCTTAACATGGTGATCAACTAAAAATTGGATTTTAAAGACATATAACTCCCTTAAAATATATGGTAACAAAAAAGAAAATTTTTACTGTACTGTAAAAAATCAACAACAAAAAAAAAGGTTCAAAATGCCTTAAAAATGAGTTTGAAAATGTTTTCAAAGTTCCAAAATTTTAGATCTAAAAACTTATTTAAATTAGTTTGATCTAAGTTTGTCATGGTTTAAAGATTAAGGTAGTGTTGGTCATAATTCAAAGGGTTAATATAAAAATAATAATTCAAATATCATTTATATTTTTCTAATTATTGTGAGATCAACCCAAATAATAGTAATAAAATATATAATCATTCAGGCAGCCTAAAATATGATAACGGTATTTTTGTCATACATTTAAAATATAAAGATAATTTTGTTATATATATAAAATATAAAGATTAAAATAATAAAAAATAAAAACTTTTGTTATATATTTAAAATATAACAAAAAAGGATTTAATGTACTACAAAACTGATGTATGCTGATTAAATGTGAATTCTTTTCTTTTTCTTTCTTTTTTAATTTCAAGATTCATTTATTGCAGGAAAAGCTCTAATACTAGACATAGATGTAAACTTTAAAACTAACTAGGAATAAATTGTCTTAAAAACTAACTAGGAACAAATTATGTCTTGAAAACTAAGAATAAGTAATATCTTAAAAACAAAACTCTAAATAACTATTCATAACACTTTTGAAAAGTAAATAAATAGAAAAAAAATGCTGTAAACTACTTGAAAAACTAAAACATTATTACACTGTATTTTACCGGAAAAAAAATTATTTACTCTGTATTTAATGGCTGCTGCTTTTAAGGCGTTTTCAACTGAGCATGAACCACACATCATAGTTTGAACATAATCAAGACCTTTGGGTTTAATCTAAAATTTTAAAAATAATAAAAGCAACTACATATATTTATAGAAATGATAAGCTTAAACCTTTTAATTTGTCAGTTATTTTTATAATTTGAAAAGTATAATTTAAAAAATTATACTTTTCAAATTATAAAAATACCATTATGAAAAGGTAGTGTATACATATATAGTGTAAAATTTACAGAAAGGATACATTGATAAAGTGTGCAGTGCTAAGTGAACAAATATATAAAGTGTACAGTGCTAAGTGAACAAACTGCATAAACATATACACATACAGAGAATCAAAAATTAACAAGATCAAGATCTCCTTAACTACAGATAACTACAAAATTTTAAAATGTTTATAAAACATGTTTACAATAAACTGATTTTAAATATACTTTTATTTTAAGTAAATAAACAATTCTTACTTTTAAAAGAGTGTCAGTTAGAGAATTATATAAGTCAGATGGAGGTAAATTACCCAATGATGGCCGATTGACCATCATTGTCTAAAAAAGTAATATGAATATATATACATATATATATATATATATATATATATATATATATATATATATATATATATATATATATATATATATATATATATATATATATATATATATACATAGTGCTATAAAAATATATATACTACTGAATAAATACATATAAATAAAAATATATATTACTGAACAAATTTGAGTTCACCTTAATTGAAGGTGATGACATAGCTTCAAGTAAAGCAGGATGATTGTAACCTATTGTTTTATATACAAAAAAAAATAAACTTTTATTTTAATAAAATATTTCAAAACATTTACAACTACTAAAGCTATAAGTTAAAGCAATGGTGAGTTTCGCCCATAGCCCTGTATGAATGTATCCCCCATAGCCCTGTATAAATATATCCCCCATAGCCTTGTATCAATGTATCCCCTATAGACCTGTATCAATGTATCCCCCATAGCTCTGTATCAAGAATTCCTGGTTTTTGTGAAATGCAACCTTGGATAAGACACAATTAAAATCCTTGGTACAAAAATGATGTAACTCTACTTTTTCAAATTGTTCAGGAGAATAAACAGTTTAAATTTGAATTTAGAGAATAAATATCATTCAGTCAAGTCTTAGTTAAATGGCATAAGAAGTGATCTAATCTAAACTATTTTCGCATTAACAGTTAGAACATCTTATAATTTGTAATATTCCGTTCAAATATCAACGAAAAGCGGAGATACATTGTTTTTGCATTGAGATTATTAAATGTTAACTTTAATTTATATATTTAAATTTATACTTGAATTTTTTTTATTTTGTATATTTCTATATTATACTTTTGAAAACTTTTTGTATATTTCTATACTATACTTTTGGAAACTTTTATCTGAAAAAACTGATTGGAATCTTATATTACAATCTCAAGATGTGAATAATGCGTATGAATTATTTTTAGCACAGTTTTGTAAACACTATGAATTGGCATTTCCAGTAAAAAAAAAAATTATAAATTCTAATTCACTATAACGCCAAAATTAATGTTAATTAACTTGAAAGTTTTTCAATATTTTTAAAAACTTTAACAAAAATTAAAAATGATAAAGATTTATTTCATGAAATTCGATATTAGATAAAAATTCTCTAAAAACATCACAATATAGTGCAAGCGTTCTTTTGTATAATGCATTTAAAACACTATATCCCAAGACAACTAGTTCCCTGATCAGGGAAGATTTTTTGTAGTAATTTTAAAAAAGTAGTCAAAACATTACTACTTTCTTCCCAGATCAAGGAACTAGTTGTCTTGGGATATAGTGCTTTAAATTTAAAAAAAAATAAATTTAAAAAAGTAGATGAAGTGTGCATTATAAGAAGATTATAAAAAACTGATGTAAATGAGTTAAAAAGTGTGTAACATAAAATTTGGGAAAACAAGCAAAACAATATTTAACTAGTATCAATCTAAATTAAGGTAGGGTGGGGTAGTCTAGACCTTTTTTAGATTTGAGCAAAATATATATATTTTATAGTAAAATAATTTATTTTTTGAAAAAAAAATCTTAAAATTATGGTTAAGCATCATTTTCAGTAAAAAAAAAAACATCAAAAAAAGTTTATTCATAATTTTTAAAGATGTCTAAGGAGCACTAATTTGAGATTTATTCTATAAACCCACATTACTCCATTTAACGGGATAATGTGGGTCTAAGTTGCACTTTTATCTTTTTTTAATGAAATATACCAACTTATAGTAAAATATGAGAGAAGTTATCGAGTTGATAATAAATATGAGTGAAGTCATCGAATTGATAATAAATATGACTAAAGTCATCGAGTATCATATTTAAATTATTCGATCAAAAGTTTAAACATAATACTTTAACAGATGTTTTAAACGAAATACTTTAACAGATGTTTTAAACATAATACTTTAACAGATGTTTTAAACATAATACTTTAACAGATGTTTTAAACATAATACTTTAACAGATGTTTTAAACGCAAAAAAAAACTTTACTTGTTCAAAGCGCTATATTATAAATGCAAAAAGATGCAGAAACTCAAAATAAACTGTTAAATAAACTTTTTCTGTCTTTGAAACTATGTTCGAAGATGAAACTATGTTCGAGGATGAAAATATGTTCGAAGATGAAACTATGCTTGAAGATGAAACTATGTTCGAAGATGAAACTATGTTTGAAGATGAAACTATGTTCGAAGATGAAACTATGTTTGAAGATGAAACTATGTTCGAAGATGAAACTATGTTTGGAGTTGAAACTAAGTTCAAAGATGAAACTATGTTCGAAGATGAAAGGAAAAATTTTAAGTGAAAACTTAATTGAAAATTATCCAATATTTTTTGTATTGTAAATATTTTTTGTGTTATTTATAAGAGATTCATTATCCTTCAAAAATAACATGGCTGTATAAAATAAAAAATTCAATGTGCAAGTCTTCAAAACTATTACACAGCTACTAGTTTTAATTGAAAACATGATATCATTACATCTTTAATGACCATCATCAAAGGCATCCATAGCAAAATGAAAAATCCAGAAAGTCAGACTTCTATTTTATACTAATTTTTTTTCAAAGGTATTTATTGTTGTATAAGCATTAGACTTTTAGCGGCACAAAACACATTGACTTATAGACCTACATTACACCACACAAAAATGTTGCTTATTTCAAAAAAACTATGCATGGTCCCATCTTAAAACTAATTCAAATTAAGTATATGGTAACTTTTATTCAAGATAAAACATTTTCTATGATTAGACTCCATTTTTAACTTTTTTATTGAAGTTTAAGGCTTTCAATAAAAATCTCTCTGTATGTGCCATTTTGAATAAAAACCTCTCTGTATGTGCCATTTTGAATAAAAAGTATACTTTAGAACTTGCCTAGTATGCTTGTAATTAAAATTTAGAGAGTTGTTTTAACCACCTACAGAAAAGCAGTTTTCCAGAAGAAAATCATTCTTCTGGAAAATGATGTTGATTAAACCCACATTACCCCTTAGACCAACATTACTCTACACTACCCTATTGATAAAAATTTGTAAGAAATTAAACTTTAATTAAATATATTTTAATTATGCAATATTATCATTTTCAGTACATATCAAAAGACATAAGTTTAGTCAAAAACTTAGAACTTTTTTCCCAATCAATTGAGATTTTCTTCCAAAAGCAGATTGACTTTTGTAATATCTTATCATACATTACAGTATAGAGTAAACCATCATTTATTCAGCCATTTTTATAATTTTCATTTTAAAAAATTTTTTCAATAAAAAATCTCTTTCCAAATGAAGATTGATCATGATGTTAATATAATTCATTGTTATACCATTTTTTTTCTCACTGTAGTTAGATGTTTCAACAGTCAAATGGTCCAACAGTCAAATGGTCAAACTAATTAAACAATGGGATTTTTTTAATAACTTTTCAGCATTAACCATTTTTTGTTTAGTATTAAGTTAAAAGTAATGAACTCTAATTGCCCTTTTTAAAAATTTTGAATTTTTTGTTTATATGTATGGAACAATTGCACATTAAGTCGCACAATATTTTAGCTAACATTAAATTTACTAAAATGACACAAATATATTTTAAAATATGACACAATGACTTTACTAAAAAACTAAATATTTATTATTTGTAGTCAAACATCTAAAACTTCAAATAAGAAAAAACTTTTAAAAAAGCTTTTTAAAAAAGTTTTTGATCCACATGTCATTTATAGCTACAAAATATGGTATAATAATGGACATTAATTTTTTTTTTAAATAAAAATATGTAAAAACCCAGTGGTAATGAAGCTATTTGTTGGTAAACATCAAGAAGAATGTTTCCATCTACATCAGCAATGTAGTTTCCTTTTGATTTTTCATAGTCCACAAAAAATTGCATAGCAGCACTTTGCTAAAAATTAAAAAAAGTTATTAAGTGTTATTAATTTAAGTGTTATTAACTTATTTTTTTATCCATTGTTTTAATTATTTTTTAAATTTTTTTTTAACAAA